AGGATATGAGAGCACAACTGGTCCATCTCCAGGCTTCTGAAATACACTCTTCAGCAAATTCCTTTAGTCACTTCAAAGGAAGGGACAAAAAAACTTGCCCTGCTGCTGTTGGGACCTCAGACCCAAAGGCAGGGCTCCTTGTTTCCTCTGCAGAAGGGATCCAGCCTCCCCAAGGAGGGGAGAGCTCCCCAGTCCTGTCCACTGCTCCCTGCTTGTTCCCAACACCTTTACCCTGGGATGCTTTAAAGCCTTATCACACTCTGGGAGCCCACAGTCTCCTACTGACCCTGCTGTCCCCTCTCCTAGCCTCTTCCATTCCATTCCTCTCCCTTCCATGATATAACACTCAATTTAAGCCTCTCCTAGGGCTTTTAAACTCTCCTGGATTATCTCCAGCTGACATAAGTGAGAATAATTCTCTGTTATCCTCCTGTTTCCTTTTCCATGCCAGGCAGTCCAGAGGCATGGAAAAAAAGCCTGCACTCCCAACGCTTTCCTGCTCCCCTGCACTCTCCAGCTCACCAGCTTCCAGCTGAAACCAGTCCAGCTCCTCTAAATCACAAGATATTTATAAAGCTCTCCTCCTTGTCATGTTTCTGGGGATCCCAAAGTCAATTAAAATAGCTCAAAACCATGAAACAGTAAAGGCAAAGAAGCCAAAATATCTGAGGCTCTGTAAACAGAGAACTCCTGTGAAATAATCCTTTTCCAGTGTCTGGTAGGGCAAGACAGATATAGAATCATAAAATCATTAAGGTTGAAAAGACCTCCAGGATCACCAAGGCCAATATGGGCTTAAATCATATCACTGGGACTCTGGACTGGGGGACATTGATGGGGTCCATGGCCATGTGTGGGTATCAAAAAGACCAACCATCCACCTCTCCTCCACCTTTCAAACCTGTTTTGTTCCTCCAGGCTGAGGTCCTTGGTGTCCCCAGTGATGCTGGGCACAGGCATCCACCTGAAGATTGGATTCATCCTGTATCTGCTGAGCAGGACAACTCCAAGCCCCCCAAATCCCAGTGCCAGTCAACACAACCCTGGGAGCTCTAGCTGTCCTTCCTCATCATAGAAATCATGCAATGATTTGGGTTGGAAGGGACCTTAAAGATCATCCAGTCCCACCCCTGCCATGGGCAGGGACACCTTCCACTAGCCCAGGTTGCTCCAAGCCTCGTCCAACCTGGCCTTGGACACTTCCAGGGATCCAGGGGCCGCCACAGCTTCTCTGGGCAACCTGTGCCAGGACCTCACCACCCTGGGAAGAATTTCTCCCTAATATCAATTCTAAGTGTCTCATCATCACACATCACCACCACTGGGGGGTTACCGGGATATTCCATGTTTCTCACCGGGGACAGCGCCCGGCAGCCACCTCCCAGCCCCAAAAACTGAAGGTCTTTTCCCTTCTGCTGTGTCTCTCCGTGTGAATCAAGGCAAACAACTTCCCGAGGGCTTGAAGCAGCCCTGCCCCCTCGGAGTGGGCACTCAAACTGAAAGCACAACCTCTGGGCTCATTCCAGGTGCGATACGGGCACCGACGGCAAACACGCTGCCAGCTGAGCTGGGCGGGGCCCGGGAATATCAGCACTGACCGAGCCCGAGTGGTGTCACTGCCAGTCATTAAGTACCACGTGTGACTGAGAGTAACTTTCAGCAACAACACGGAACTGTCACCAGCCAGGTTCCCGCAGGGAACAGAGATCAGCTGTAACCACACGGATCTGAGCCAGGGCCACATCCACAGGGCACTGCCTCCCAAAGTGCTGCTGCACTGCTCCTGCATCCCGAGCAGCGAGTCCATGACTGCCACCCCCATCCCACTCTTCAAACTCCCACAGAACCCCTCAAACCACCCCTGTCCTCCACGACTTTTCCCTCCCTGATGCCCACCCCTGGCACCACTGTGCTCCCAGCGCCTCCAAATATCAGCAGCAACGGGTCTAGTGCTGGAAAACACCCCGAGAGAGATGGGAACTGGTGCAGAGGGCTGGTGGTCCCTCACAGGGAACATGGAGGGACGAGATGGTTTGCACAGAACAATAATTGGTTATTTTGGTCCAAGCCCTGCAAAAGGGACCCTGAAAGTGGTCCTGACAAGTGGCTTTAGGGATTAAATATGAGCTTCATACTTAAGACTTCCAAGTCTAAGCCACAGTCTCCCAAGCCTGCCTAAAGTAGGGAACTCTGTTGTGTTGGAAATACTGTCCCCACCAGAAACTGCCATCACTTATATGAGGGTGTTGTGTCTGACTAATTTAAACACCTTTATAGCACCTGGATCTGGGCAGGGGGTGATGCCAGCAGCTTCCCACAAAATCTGGGGCTGGATGAAGCCTTTTTATAATCCACCATTCCCAGCTTGTACAAACAAGAGCTACAGAACCCTTCAAACCCAGCTGCTCACCATGTTGTGCCTGCTGACAACCATTCACTCCAAAAGTTCCCAAACCTGGAAATTCCACTTGGACACTTTGCTTTCCTACTCTGTCTTGGGGGCTGGGAGGACTGATAGTGCACACAGGCTATGCTTTCCTACCCAGAAGCAGTTCTTTTCTTATATATATGTTTTTAACACAAATGTCACAGCACAGGAAGAGTGGGCAGGTCAGGAAAGAGTGGGGGATGTTGCTGCCTGTCAATTTATATACATTTGCTCTTAAAGCAAGAATTTTTCTCTGAGGGATGGGTGCCCTGACTCCCCATCGTCCCAGATGGTGCACATCATCCACGTGATGCCAACAAACATGTTTGGGTAGAGCTCAAATTGTTCCTTCACATGCTTGCACGGCGACAGTGCTGGGCTGTTGACTCTTGAAACCAAAAGCACTTTTTAACACAGAAATTTTAAAAGGAAAAAAAAAATAAAGAAGTCACTAGAGTTTTAAAAGCATTTTTAAACCTTTTTTTTCAGGTGCTGGTTTTCCCCTCAGTGCAGCTGGACTTGCAGCCACCAGGGCAGGTGGGAGTGGGGGTCCCTGCTGGTGTCTCCAGTTTGTGGGGTCACTCTGCACATGTTCCCCACATGGGCAACCACCTCTCCCTCTGAAATCACCTCTGAGGACCCCCAGACTGGCTCAGTGGTGGGTGTTCCAGGCTCCTGGCCTAATTTTGGAAGGAAGACACTGGAGCTGGAGTTGGTGGGCACAGGCAGCCAGGCACATCCTGGCACTGTCAGAGCTCCTGCCACCAGCAAAGTGACACCCCCAAGTCATCTGCCCTCGCCCAAACTCCCCTGGAAGGTCCCAGAGACAGCCCTAACCAAGTGCCCTGGGGTGTGTGGGGTGCTGAGCACCCAGCCCAGCTCCTGAGGCACTCAGCCCTGCAGCTGCCCATGGGATGCACAAATGGGTTAACAAGTATTTGTTGGGGCTTTTTATTTTTAATGCTGGAGTGTGACATCCTGAAAAAGGGCTTGGCAATGTTTTCTCAGCTCCAGGCTATTTTTGCTTGCTGCCAGCTGAAGGGAGCTGTGCCTGTTTGCAAGAAAGGGCATGAACTGCAAGAAGGGCTCTGTTTTTGGGTGGCTTTACTCACCCAGAGTCATGGTCATTACTGCAGCAGCCTGGAGCGGGTTAAGGCCACCTTTTGCACCTCCAGCAGAGGAGGGAGCAGGTCACCAGTCCCCTCCAGAGGCACATCAGTGTAGCCAGAGGCAGCCCTAAATCACCCAGGGTGACCTCCAGCTCTTCCTCCTGGTGCCCTCAGACAAAAAGTGTCATCAAGTCACCTGCTGGAATAGCCCAGTCTGGGCAGTGGGGACCTTCAGGGATGTAGGAGTCGAAGACATCATCTGGGATGATGCCTCCAGCCCAGGCATCTCCCAGAAGGAGCCAGCTGGGAACATCCCCATGGTACCCTACAGCATCCCCACAGAACTTTGGGGGCTACAGCACAGCCCAGGGAGGAGTGGGCAGCACTGTCCTCCATGGAAGGTGAGGGAAGATGGATGGCAAACAAACCCCAAATCTATCCCAGCTGTGATGCCCTACCCATGGCCACACATCCTGAGAACATGCTCGGCTGTAAAGCTCTGACAAACCCTTCCCTGGATCACACACAGGCTTGGATACAGTAACACTGGTGGGAAATCACACCTCAGCCCTGGGCACCACCGGCAGCACCGGCACAAGGGGGTCCTGCCCTCTGGCTGCTTCTCACATGTCCCCAAAGCTGCTTCGCCCACGGGCAGCCGCCGTTCCCCAAAACTGCACCCGGCTGCTCCGGCTGCTGAGGTGTGGAGGTGCTGCCAAGCGAGGCACGAAAATCTCCCCCCCCCCGCCAGGGGAATCCTGGCCAACGCAGCCGGATGCCCCGGGGACAGGGACCAGCACGTGCAGCAGCCTCGGTGCACATCCAGAAACGGGCCGAAAAGCGGGGGGGGGAAAAAGACGGGGTGATGGGTGGTGCAAAATCAGGATGGTTGGCAGGGTGTAAAACGTGACACGTGGCCGGGATGACCCGTGTTATCTCACGCAGGGAGTGAGCTCAAGAGCCTGGAGCTCAGGCAGGGACCGGCTTCAAGATGACAGCAGGTGAGTAACCGGGCAGCCAACGCCAGAAAACCCACTTCAACCCGCCAAGCCTTTGCTTCTGTCACTCAAAATGCTCTGCTCAACCAAGTTTTTAGAGCAAGCCCATGTTATTCTAGGGCAGTGTTTTCTTTTCACACCAGGATGTGGTTAATCATTCCCTAAGCAGCAGCACACCGTGTACCGGACGCTGTGGGGAAGCTCACAGAGAGCTACCCATGTGCAGTGCCGGGTACCACTGTGAACCCCACCGAGCCCCCCAGCCCTTCCCACGCACCGAGCAGGACGGGGTTGCCCAGGACCTCCCCAAGAGCTGATATTCAAATTCTGCATCATCAAACAGCCTCCGTTTTACCGGCGGTGCGAACGCGGGGCGCGGGGACGCGTGGGATGGGCTGGGGTCACCACCCGCACAAGCATCTCCTCCCTCCCCGCGGCGCATCCCTGCCAGGCTCCCATCCTTACTTTGATGTTGCAGAAGATACTCCGGGAGCAGGTGCTGGAGCTTTTGGGGATGTCAGCTGGGGATTTGCCAGCTTCGGGGTGGACTCCCATCGTGATGGCTTCCCGGGGAGCCCCCAGTAGCTGGGCTGAGCTTGGGCTCCCGTCCCTGTCCGGCTTGTCCCCGCTGCCCGCACGGTCTGTGCCGAAAACCTTCCGAGGCTGTGAGTGAGCCAGGCAGCGTGAGCGCCAAGTTTTTATAAGTCGGCTCCGGGGAGCGATGATGAAACGCTTTCTCTTTCTCCTCCCTCTTTTGCTTTGTGCACCGAGGGAACTTTAAAGCCGCAGGAAGCGAAGGGCAGAGCGCGGGGAGCAGGTGGGAGCGAGGGCTCGGTGACCCCCGCGCGGTTGGGGCTGTGGGACGGTGTTTGTCCACCCGTGGGGGCACCCAGAGCCCTGACCCACCGCTGTGCTCACGGCCCGGGCTGCAGGACGGGGCTGGACAAGGAAACGGCACTGGCAATGAAGCCTTCCCGCAGGGAAAGCCACTGAGATTTTAATTAAAAGCCCCCCCTGAAGGGGCGAGAGGAAGGGGAGGCACCTTTCAGCAACTGAGATTTGGCGCCCAGGTGGTGGGAGGAGGAAATTGGGTGGCCGGACGGAGAAATCCCTCCCTGGGTTAAGGGGTTGTGGTGGAAAAAAGAAACTTCTCCTGTTTTTTTCTTTCATGAAAAAAAGCTGCATTTGTGAAGCTCTTGAGCACCTTTTTTTTTTTTTCTTTTACCAACACCTCTCCGGAGCTTTGTTTAAGCAAAGTACTGATTTATTTTGCAGGCTCCTCTCAGGGGGGAAACGCGTCAGAGGCTGAAGGGCAAGTTGATTCTGCCCGAAGGGAGGCAGCTGCCAGTGTTTAGTCAAAATTATCGCCTTCCCCTCCATAAAGCAGGTGGGGAGAGCAGGGGGACCCCGTGGGAAGCCTCGGAGCCCACCTGGGTGTGTCCTGAGCCTGGAGAAATCCATCCCAGCCCCCTGAATGGTTTTTCCCCACGGGAAGGCTGGCGGGTCCCTGTGTATGATGCCGAGGGGTTGAGCCCCTCTCAGTGGGCACCCCCCGACCCCAGTCCCGCCCGGGCTCCTCTGTGGGCGCTCACCACGAGAGGGTGCCTTGTACCCATGGAGAGGGTGCCTTGTACCCATGGAGAGGCTCCCCGGGCACCACCATCCTCCCACCTTGCCCAAACCCTCCCAAGACAGGACCCCCGGGGTCTGACCAGGCCCAGGGCAGTGGGAAAATCAGCACTGCTAAGATAAAAAGAGCTATTTTTGTCTGTCAGCTTCCCAATTTCCTAAGCCTGTCCTTGGACAGGTGGGTGTCATCAGCCCTGGGGTGGCAATAGAAGCATCCTGGTTTTTCATCTCTCCTTTTCCACTCCAATCCCCAAATTTGCCACATCTGGGGTGAGGACGTGATGTGAAGAGATCCTCTTCCCCTATCAAAGTTAGCCAAGGTCTTTTGTGCACCATTCTATGTCAAGAGATGGAGACTTTCAGCCTCACCAAAGAAAAGCTCAAGCAAACCAACATCTCTACTCCTCTCCCACCCTCCCCATGAGCCCAGCGTTCCACTGACCTAATTTTTTGGGCAGTGCCTGACCCGCTCACTGCCGTTCCTGTGCTCAGTTTATTCTGCAGCAGTCCCATGATGCTCACTTTGTTATAACAAACACCTCCGTGCTGCAGATGTTCCAATGCCTGACCACCCTTTCAGTGAAGACATTTTCCCAAATATCCCATCTAAACCTCTCCTGCCACAGCCTGAGGCTGTCCCCCTCTCCTCCTGTCCCTTGTTCCCTGGGAGCAGAGCCTGACCCCCCCCAACTCCCCCCTCCTGTCAGAGGGTTGCAGAGAGCAAGAAGATCCCCCCTGAGCCTCCTTTTCTCCAGGCTGAGCCCCCCCAGTTGCTTCTCATCAGACTTGTGCTCTAAGAATTCCTTGGGCACTGATTTTTAAGGTACAAGGAACAGGATTGTATTTGATGAGTTCAGTTAGAACAAGGAGCAGAACAACAGCGTCCAGTCTGCGGGTCCATGAACCACACTGGAGGGCCACTGGCACGACTGGAAAGAGGAGAAGTCATTCCCAAGCAGGGAGCACTGCCCAAGTCTTGGCAGCTCAAATAGCTGTAGTAAGTAACACAATAAAAGCTGACAAATCTGAATTTAAAAGTCCAGTCATCTCTGACCATCAGAGAGCACTACTAACATCCCCCCAGGTTTTATCCCACTGGAAGAGAAACTCCAGCCCTTGGACACAAGTTCGTCTCCAGCTTTCTTACACTGACATTCCTTCTAAATTGTAGGCTTCAGACTGTGCAACAAAATGAGCTGCAGGTGAGAAAATGGGGGACTCTTGCCTCTTTTTGAGGATTCTCTGCTGCATTTTCCTTCCCACAGGGTTACAGCCTTGGCAAGGAACTGCTCATCCTGCAGAGGAGTGCACAGGAGGAAAGTGATTTACAGTGGTGCTGACAAGGGGAGGAGAGCTGGATTTCAGACTCTTCTCATCATGCTCTGTCAGGGCAATACGGTTCACGTTGAGTGACTGGCAGGGAAGATCCCACATCAGCAGGGTTTGGTTCATTCTACAGGGCTCCTGGGGCTGTGCTTCTGCCTCAGCCTTTGAAATGAGTTGAAATGAGTTCCTCCTACAGTGGCCACACTGCCCTGGCCAAGGCATTGGCTGGAAGGAGAACACCTTGTGCTGCTGAGTGGGAACAGCTACTTCAGCCAAGCTCTCCACGTACCCCACCAGCTCATCCTCTAACCCAGCCTTTTCCCTCACCCAAAACAAGCCACCAGTTGAACCTGCCCACCAGGCATGTTTTCAGTGGGCTTTCACTGGTGCAGCTGTGCCTGATTCAACTTTGGGATGCTCGCCTTGTTCACAGAACATCAGAACTCTCTAAAGCCACTTCCCTTCTGCTGGGGAGGAGATTGGGTCAAACTCTTTCAACATGACAGTGAGGAAAGAGAGGATTCTTCCACCGCATCATTGTCCTCACTTCTTTCTACCAAGCAGTGATGCTTTCCTGGGTTGAGACTCACTCTGCTTTACCACCTGGATTCAATCTGGCAGAGACAGAAACACCTCAGTTTTTCTCCACGATATCCCTGACCATATCAATATCAATATCATATCCCATATCAATGACTAGTTGCCCACTGGGCTTTAAAATCATAGAAATCATGGAATGGTTTGGGATGGAAGAGACCTTAAAGCTCATCTTGTTCCACCCCCTGCCATGGGCAGGGACCTTCTACTATCCCAGGTTGCTCCAAGCCCCATCCAAAGTGCTTCTTTCCCAGCAGCCTCCCTGTCAGTGTCTGAAGGCTGACATTGAGCTGCTGCTTCAATATTTCACTTCACACAGACCTGCTTGAAGCATCATCCATGGTGTGGAGCCAGACAGCCAGACCCTAGGGAACACTGGAACAAGGAATTAATTTTCCTATCTTGGAGCTGGAAAAATGTGAACTGTGTGGTCAAACAGCTGGAGGAACCTGGTTCCTGCTAGGTCAGAAGTTATTTCCCCAAATCCAAAGGTGTGGATTCTCAGCTGCCTTCCAAACTCTTTGGAGGCTTTGTGTGATCCAGCAATAGCAGAGAAGCCTGTATGCATCTCCCACCTGGGAAATCCTCTGGCCTTGGATAAAACTAGAAGCTGGAGAGGGACTGGACCTCAGGAGCCCCTGGCTCAGCAGAAGGAGGGTGTGATGTGTGATCCAAGCAATTTATGCATTCAGACACAGCAGCGAAGAAGATCCTACGACCACGGGAGGAGATGTGAGGGTGGACAGACACATCATGTGGGAAGACCCAGGGAGGCTCTGCAAGAGAGGAAGGAACAAGAGCAGGATCAGAGCTCATAAAACCAGCAGCTCTGGAGGCTATCGCCCATCATGAGCTGGGTCTCCTGCTTTGTGGGTGCTGCTCTCACAAGCAGGATCAGGCAGAGAGAAAAAGGTGATTCTTCTATTTACTCAGGAACCTCACACAGCTCAAAACCAAGCTTCCAGGAGCCATGTGACCCCCCGTTTCCTTGCTGCACACCAGAACCAGGACAGCACAAGCCTCTGCAGAAGCAAACACGAAGCCCCTGGGCTCCTGGAAGGTTTTGGATTTGCAAGTACAAACGTTGCTCAGGGAATGTAGATTAAAAACACCAGAGCCACGTTACCAGAGCCAGTCCCTGGGGGTGCAGACCAGCATGTAAAACCCACCCCTGGAACCCCCCTTATTCTCCAGGGCTGGTGGGGTGGCACAGCGGGGAGCAAGGACAGGAGGGGCATCAGCAGTTCCTGCCAGAGCCTGTGATTGGGAATTACAGAGCGTGACAGGCTGGGTTTAATTTGCCAGCAAAATGTGTTTGATTTGGAGCAGAAATACTGCTCAGAGGGAAGTACAAAGCTGTACCTGAAGAACAGGCTTGGCTGGCTCAGAGCCTGACCTGCTCCTGGGGATGGAGAGTGAGGGGAACGTGGTTCACCAGCACCACAGGGGTGGAAAGGTCCATAGGGGATTTTCTTTAGGGACAAACAACAGATGAGCCCCAGAGTGGGAGGTGACACTGCCTGTCCTCCATCCGAGGCACCACCAGCCCTGCAGCAAAGCCAGAGTCTAGGAGTGAGGCCAAGGTGGGCTGGGAGAGCAGGAGCTCATCCTGGAGGTGCTGGCAGAGGTGGGTGTCAGCATTAAACCATCTCTGCCATGGCCAGCTGTGCTGGCCTGGAGCAGAGGAGAGGGTGACTAATAAATACATCAAGCAATTCCATCCCACATCCAAACTGGCAATCAAACCTCTTGCAGGGCAGTGGCAGGAGCAAGGTGCATTCTGGAGGAATAAATGGGAAGGCAGGCTTTGCAGGGTGGCTGCAGAGCCTGGGAACTGGGAGGCTGGGATTTTGGCAGGGTGAGTGTTTAAGAAGAGCAGAGAGGAAAGCAGAAGCTCCTCCACTTCTAAGAGCACTGTAAGTGAACAGGGGAGTGGAAGAAATGCTTTTAAATGAGCTGTGATGGTGCTTCATATCTCTTAAACAGCTATTTTTTTTTCCTCTGCCTTTTCTGTTTCAAATAAATTTTGGTTTTTTTTAGAACACTTGAGTTTCACCATCAGTTAAATCCCTGCCATAGCACACCAAAGGCTCTTCAATCAAACTGGAGGTGACCTGGTGCATGGATTAGTTTCATGGGAGAACCAACTCTCCATCCCCTCTGTCCTTCCCCACCTCTCCTTTCTCCCCAACAACTCTTGGAGATGCCAACCCCAAGGTGTCACGTTTGAGGCCTTTAGCTCAGCACATTCCAGAGAAGAAACTGATGGTTGGTTAAACAAGGAGGTGAGAGATTGGAATGAAGATTATTCATTCCA